ACACATTTTTGTTGATTGTACAGCTGAAGAGGTCCTACAAGCCTTGAATTCCTTAGTAATTACCTCCTGGAAAGTGCTCCACAATTTAAAATTATCCTAATGGATTCTGCACTTGAGATTCTGAAAACCCACCATTGATAAGGACAGGAGAATCCCCAAAGGCAGAGTGCCTGGGAGGTAAATAAAGCATGGGGAATTTATAATCAAAAACCACGGAATCCTCTTTATTTTCCACATGCTAAGAAGGGAAAAAGGAGAATGGGAAAGAAATTTTCCTTCTGCCTTGTTTTACATGTCCTGTTGTGTGAACATATCAGCTACTCCAGGCACAAGTTAAAAGAGGAATTGAAAATACAAAACCTATAATGGATGTCTAGACTTAGAATCACTCCCAACACCTTAATATTACTGCCCATGTATGGAAATAAGATAGGTATGTCCACATCCATTCAGCAGCACATTCCTCCATATTTTCTCTTATTTGTTTTACTCCACACCAGTGAAGCTTTCTAGCCGCTTTACAGAGGTATAATTAGACTGTTCCCTGGCCTTCAATACATTTTACAGTGAGGTGTCTCAAAAGATGTAGGGCTGGGGCAGGACTTTTGCAGAAAGAAAAAAAAAAGAATGGACCACAAGGAGCAAATTAAAACAATGGTTAAAAAATGAACTGCTAATTCAACCACATCTTCAATGGAAAATTCATATTACAATGAAAACACCAGCATATTTCTTTCTTCTCCTTTGTGAGTTTAACTTGGAAAGTTACCACAGCTTTAAAACTGGATGAAAAGCAAAGAGTTTTGGAGTGAGAATTTCTAGCATCTGTTTTGCTATGGCAGCGCTACAGGGAAAAATGGCCCTTGTGTTAAAAGACAGCTCAGGATGTTTGGCTCTGTTTTCTGACCTTGATCTTCATGTTGGCACTAAGAAAATCTGGTCAGTATGCCCTAATTTATTTTTTTCTTTGTTCAAACTGTACATTTTGCACTTTATAATTATTTCTGGTACTATTTGAAAGACACTTCTGGGACTCCAGTATGACGGTCAGGTCTCACTTTTTTTTACAAAAGGTTTTGGGATGTCTAGTTTGAAAAATGTCAATTTTTTTTTTGAATACACTACAGTTTAAACTGGCAATTTCATTCCTTAACTCCCTTGCTCATGCTAACTTATTCTAAGACAAAGGCCTGATTCAGCACTTTCTGCCACAATGCAGCTTGCTCACCACTGAATTGAGCAGCCATTTGTTCAGTTCTTATGATAATGGGCAGATCCTGATAGTTTGATTCATGCAAGTATGTCAGTGGATGAGCCACTGAACAGGATTTGTCCCCGTCGATATTTAACAAACTGGTCAGATACTCAGTTAACCTCTGGACCACTAAATGCTGAAGAAGGATGCAAGAACTGTGAGGGTAGTTACCTGAGGGTGGGTAGGACTTCATCCTATGATTATTTAACAACTAACCTCAATGTGCATTGTCAGGATTTTCCTCTCCTAGAACAGTTAAAAAGTAGCCAGAACATAGTTCATACGTAATAGGAGTCTTACTGACGTGTTAAACATTGTGGAAGTTGATGTTCTTGAATGCAGGATTTAATGCCACTGTAGTTTCTGCTGCACTGCTGATAAACATTGTATTTGCAGATTGCAGATTGTCTTAAAAATAAGGGCTGAATCTTGGCTCTTGTGATACCAGAAGTGATTCTTCTCTTGCTTTCACCATTGGCATTATGTCTTCTGAAAAAGCAGTAAAGTTTTTGCTCTTTTGAAAAGCAGTGTAATTATACCAAGTGAAAGTACTGTACTATTTCATTCTCCTGCTAAACCCTCCTTGGATTCTTGAGTTTGCCTGCGAGAATGTCGCACTAGCACTGAGTTTCAGCTTTCAGGCTAAGCAGAAGGAAGACACTTTATAACAGCCATTGCAATTAATGATTTTGCCAGGATCTTCACAGTACAGCTACAGTATCATTAAATGCACTTTGGTTGCGAACAATTTACCAGTGACAGGAACAAGCAGAATACAAGCAAATAAAAACTCTTAATTGATATACAAGTAGACTGAGTAATCAATTTTAAATCCAAGTGATCCATGAAAAAAGCAATGACACTTGTTCAAATACAAATAGGAGTGAATGAATTTCTTCACATGTACAATGTGTATTGATCAACTGAGCCTCATTAAGCACTTAGAAGTCAGACCAGTTTCAGGAAATCATTTTCCTTACAAATCAATTCCCAATTCCCTAATACAAATACATTAATAAGAGAAGCTATTTTTAAGTGACGGGGATGTGAACATTTGTTTGGAAGTCTGTAATCTCGAATGTGCTTTGTAATTCTGATCAACTCATTAGATGCACAGCTCTGCTGCTGCACATGGCCGGTGGTTTCCTGCTGTAATTGGCTAAGGCCAGTGTTCCTGCCTAACCTGGCCAGGGAGTAGGCAATTCCTGTACCTACCTCTCTACAAAGTCAATGTTCAGGTCAGAGTATTTTAAAGACACTTACGATACACCAGCAGAATCAAACCTCCCACAGAATGAGCCTGTGATGCTTTATTTTTAGTATATGGCATTTTTCTTTTCAATAGCCACCTTGCACAAGAGGGAAGAGCACCCAGGTTTAATGCTCCCCCAAGCAACCTGCTTCTGCATGATCTGGACTTACTCCTGGGCATGGCCTTATATGCCTGAGGACATCCATTTAGGTAATCCACTTCTTAAGGGAGAGTGTAAACCAGGTGACAGCTATACGAAATATGGGCACCATCTCCAACCACTACACAGGACTGGCCTAATTCCTTCGACGAAAGTATGTCACTGTCCTCGGAAGAGGACTGCAAAAGCATATTTGTGGGTGCCAGTATTCCCAAGGCTAGAATTTTGGATACAGCCTTGCCTTCATCATTTCCTATTAGTTAGACCTCAGTGGAAGAAATTTTGGGTCCCTTATGTGGCATCTAAAATTCACTGTACATTGCAGGGGCAAGTAGACTTTTGGATTCCACTAAAAAATTAAAATCTGTCTAAATCTGTCTAAATTCCTTTTTGGAGCCACACCTGAGTAGCTATAGAAATCACTGAGCTTCCTATTCTGTTCTGTTTCTTTATCCTGGATTTATGAGAAAGTGTGCAAGAGAGTGCTCATGGGGCCTTTTCTGAACTTACAGTCATCAGTAACAGGCAGTATTTCAGTGTTTTGGCTATATATGGAAAAATAGGTGACTATCTGCGACTTAAAACTCACTGAATCACCTGCTTTAAATATGAAGTTCCCTTTGACAATGATTTTCAAAGGAAAATGATGCAAAAAAAAAAAAAAAGGAAAAAAAAGAAAAAGTTGCAACTTGCCCCATCTTGTATCGGGAGAAATATTGGGAGTGAGAGACACTTCACTTCTTTTCACAGCTCTGCCCATTCACGGAGTTTGCTTTTCACAGGAATCAAGCAAAACAGTTACTGAGCTGTCTAAATCCTATGCTGAAGATCTATCTAAAGAAATACAAGAATCAGTTAGCCTTAAGCGCTCACTGTGGCTGCCTCGTGGTGTGAGAATCTACTACCACCCATGCCCCATACACTACAGCTACTCTAATCTGGGCACCCAAAAGGAGGGATTGCCAGGTTTTCCATGGCATCTTGCTTGGATCTGCCTGTGGGAGATATCACAAGTTCCAAAGGAGACAGGACGAGATGGAAACCTATATGAACATGCAGTGCATGAAATTCTGCAGTTGCTGCGCTTTGACTTTGACCTTAGCTCTTCTTCATTCTGCTCACATTTCCCTAATTACATTTAAAGGCAGCTTTGCTGCCAAACCGTCATTGCTAAGTTTTCTTTGTTTTTGTATTAAAAAGATAAAAATCAGCATACATCAATGTAGACCCTGATACGCTTTTATATACATATTGTGTTTAATGTAACTTGCGGCACAGAATCTTGAAACTTATCCAAATTCCAGTTTCTGCTGGCCCTGGCAAACTATATGCTCCTTGCCTGTCTTTCTGACGTGAAGACCCTGTCTGAATAGTTCTACAAAGCTGCATAGATTATCCCTTGGTTAACTTCAACACCTGAAAATTGCAGGCATTTCTCATTTAAGTTGTCAAGGTTATTGTACTATGTATGTTGTTGTATTTCCTTAGAACTGTAAATACTAATTAAATGTTTCCAACAAGAAGATCAGTATTTGTCTAAGAGGCTGTAGGATGAACTTGGAATGTTGCGTTGTACTAAAATAAAGGTAAGTGCTTGTCTCAGTTCTCCTAATTAGATAGTAGGATACAACTCTGTTCACTGAGGATGCAGCAAGCTCCGAGAAAGAGCGTGCTGAAATGACTTTAGTCCAACATCTATTAGTGGAACTGTATTCCTGGGTGTGTGTGCATGTATGTAGATCCATGCTTGGGAGTGTGTGTGTTGCTTCAATGTATTAATGTTATACAGAGAAAAATTGAATAGATATAAATGATGATGGAGAAATGCAGACTAGAAAAGCTATGTATGTTCCTAGAACTAAAAACAAGACTCTGATTTTTTTTTCCCCTTGCTATCGTTTCTGTGGTAAATTGTTAGTGCAGTTAATTTACAGTATTCATAAAAAATGCTAACAGGATATTTCCCTAATTCAGATAGACTAAAAATAGAGTGATAAAACATACTTGGAATTTTAATATCAAGTATAAAAACATCAAAATGTTACAGAAATCAACACCGTACGCAATCCATTCTTTGTGTGTCTAATTTATCTGGTTAGTATAGAGGCAATATCTGTTTTCAGTGAGATGCTTTTTTTTTTTCCTAACTCAGCAGCTGGCGTAAATGAAATACTAGTCAAAGACCAAATTAACAGTTTGAGGGCCACAGATCTGGTGGAATGAGGGGAAGGGAGGACGGCTGAGGAGGATAGTGACAGGATGAATTGTAACCTCCAGACGTCCCAATAATAACCTCTAGGCATATATGTGGTATGTATTATGCTCTACAGTAGACTACTCTACCTCTTACAAGTTTTTGCAGTGCTGCTAATTCTTCTGTTATCTCTTTTTCTCCCATAGTGCTGCAGAAAGGAGGAGAATGAAGGCAACTAACAAGAGGTTCCTCTTAACTCACAGCACATCACTGACGTAGGCAGCTCAAGACAAGAAAGACATGGTGTTACTATATGAATAAACCTATCTAGCTCTGCTCTGTAGCTGGATAGCCAAGCATTTTGGCCTCAAGTCACATTCTTAAGCTTCTCCCTGGATTCCAGCTTCCAAAATACCAAAGTATAAATTCTCTTCTTTCTGCTTTGCTCTCCAGCTGTCCGACTCACCTTCTCCAGCAGCCATGAGCAAGGAAGCTAGGGGAGCAGAGGGGAAGAGGTCCGACTGGAAGAACTGACACAGCCTTACTAACCACCTGGGCAGAACAGAAGTGAGACGAGCTTCTCAGGCCTCAGCAACTGACTGCTGACACACTCAGGAGATGCTATTGAGAAAAGGAGCCCCTCTCTACTGAGGAAGGCAAGGAGGAGAGACCGGGAATAAATGAACTGACCTGAACAGGTATTTGTAGGTATATGTTTAAGTGGATAGACTAAAGGGCTGGAATGAATGACTACAAGAAATAGTGTAATGAGTGCTTGAACCTTCAAATTGCCTTTATTCTTATGAAAAAAATTGTGGTTTTAATCGTCCCAATTTAAATATTCAAGCTTTTCTCACACTAGATTGTTCTGTCTGGATTCAGGGCTCTGTCATAGCTTGGATAACCAAGTCTCTGCATAAATACCCTTTCTAGCCTTGTATTTTCTGTTAGAGGGTCTGAACCTTTCTTACACTAGGATCCCCTTATACTGCCAGAGTAGTAAAAATAACTGAACAGAATTGAGAATAATATCTGGAATATTCTTCATCTCCTGCTCTGAATGGCTGTGTAGCACTACAGTGCACTTATTGCTGGTTTTCACCTTAAAGGGGATTATTTGCTTTAGCAACGACACATTACACTGCAGTCAAAGTGTTTGACTCCCACCTGCCACTTACCTGGCATTTGCAATACTTAAGTACATTCTGCACCACCCACAATATAAGCGAGTCCCTGAAGAGTGCAGCCTGGTCCCCCGCAAGAGGAGCACTCTGCAAGGAACTAGAACATTTTGGATGAGAAGCCCTGCATAAAGGCAAGATGATATTGCTAGTATTACTCACTACCTTGCAGTAATGCATTGCAGGGGTCGGAGATGAGTGAGCGATCTCAGAAACACTATTTGCAGTAATAGCTTTGCACAAAGAGGTCACTTAGAGATAAAGCAGCAGTTAATTCAAAACAGAATTTCAGACTTAACTTTGCCTTTTTCCCCATCTTTAAAGGAAATAAGAGGTGACACAGTTGGATTAGACACACATTTTAGGCTTTTCAGAAAACAGAATATTATTTACCAAAAAGATTGTAGTAGTTCCAAGCTGATAAATGCGGTACATTGTTTTTTGGCATGCACATCAATTCTTAAAACAAATATTATTTACCAAAAATTCTATAAAAGCTCCTTTGGAATCTCCACAGTATATTAGGTAAATAAGGGCTTTGTAGCATTATAGAAAAATGTACACTTTTACAGAAGCTTTTTAAAGTCTGGCAACACAATCCATCTCTCCCCTCTTTATTTTATATCAAAGCTCTTATGATTCAATTTTTATAACTCAGTTGCCAAAGTCCATAATAAGTGGCCTACTCTTAACATGAAAGTAAGAGAGCAAGGGAGACAGAGATGTACTTTGGTTGGTAAATGTGCCAGAAGCAGAGTTATAAAATGAGAAAGAGTCTGAAAGGAAGTAGCTCTAGAAGCCAAGGAGGAGCAAAAGCCCCTTCCTTCTTCAACACCAGGGTATCTGGGATCACAGAAGGTGACGGTGTGTCTGGCCTACCATGTAAAGTGTGAATGGCTCACTTTTACAAAGCACATTTGTACCTGGGAACACACACAAGCATACACACACACATATAAAATATATGGACTATCTAGTATGTGTGTGTATACAAATATATATTTTATTCATATACAGATGCTCATCTCAATGTAGGTATAGATATCATACCATTATTTTAATACATTGGCTTTTATTTCAGAAATTGCTGGCAACAAGTACAGAAGCTCTTTTGAGGTGGACCACTTCTCTCAACTTTCTCTTTTTAGCGGCCGGTTAGTTTTTTTTTTTGCTAGAGCTCTGTGAAATGTTTCATTTGCTGCAAAACTAGAAATCAGGAAGGATTCACCTGCTTTGGAGTGTGCGCCCAAAACCAGAACTGGCAGGACATCTTGTAATGTGTTGAGTCCAAACACTGTCTTGCCAATATTGGAATTAAATTGTCTCACTCAGCTTTGATAGCTCCAGATTCCTGGAGGTTAAACTTATGGGAAATCCAGAGCCATTTCCATGGGTTAGGCCTAATGGCCAAGTGCCATAATAATCAGTCTGGCTCACTGCATTGCCTCTGGACAAAGCCGGTCCTGAGAGTCCTGTCTTTTCGGCCAAACCACTTTGTCCAGCAGGAAGGAAAGCCATATCAAGGCTAAATGCTGAGAGTCCCCGCGTTGCCTTCTTGTGGTCCGAAGCGCATGATTCTCCATTAAGGAGACTGGAAATCAGAGTTGGCCTCTCTGAGCTAGACCTACCTGTGAAGCTCTGAGAGCTGCCTACTCAGAGCCTGCCTTCCCTGCATACACCTAGCTCAGTAGCCCCTTATTTATATTATTCAGTGCAAACCTCATGGCTTTCCTTGAGATACAATGCTTTCCTGCTTCTGTTAACTAACTGAGGAAGGCACCTATAACCTACTGCATCCAAGTACAGGACGATGTTAAAGAATAGCTCCTGGAGGCAGTCCTCTGAGACATTTTTTGGTGACTTTTCAGGCCACTGATTTGTGATCATGAAGAAATCTCAGTTCAGAACAGCTGGGAAATATTCAAGGAAGTGATACAAAACAAAGTGAAGGAAGTTATCGGAAAGCACACACAGTTAAGGATAGTCTAGACGAGCAATAAAACAAGACAATATGGGTAAAATATAAACAAGCCAAGGCTACAGGAGAAACAAAAGAAGTAAAAGTACCTTGCAAAAAAATTGAGCAAATCACTCTGAGGCTGCACAAGCAGAAGTGTTAGAAAGAAAGTTCCATGAGAAGATCAAAAGACAGAAGCAGTACACTAAAGGTTAATTTGAATGGAAATGCAGTTGGGCCAATGAAACCAGCAATTAAAAAACACGAGTGGTGAACCAATAACATATACCACAAAGATGCAGTAAATATGAAGGGAATATTATGAAGCCTGCCTTAGCCAGCTGTGAAAGCCAGTCTGCCCTGCCGTGCAAACCGAGTAGACACACTAGAATGGGCAGTAGCTCTGTCCCTTCATCAGAAAACTCTGCTCTAAGAAAGCGTTAAAGCAGATGTCCTTCGAGAAGAGATAAATAGCACAGCTGGCCTTTTAGAAGCTGAAGGAACAAATTCTACCAAAGCAGGAAAAAAAAAAATCTGAGAAGGTGTATTGGAGCAAGTGGCGATATTAGATAGCTGATTAAAGAAAATAGTTGAATGAACTCTGAGGAAAGAAATTCCTTTCATTCCAAGCAATCCAGAGGTGTAAGTTCGTTGTCCTAATGAAAGCAATCATCAACAAACTGCAGTTAGCTGAGGAGTAGGGGGAGCAGATAGTATGACTTCAAATCAGGCTGTGTTGCACTGGTCAGGGGATCAGTACTCCAGAAGTATATGGCGAAACAAGGAGAATGGAGACAAATGAGAATTATTGTTTCTATTGTATTTTTGATGGCATTCATGAAGTGTGATGCGGGAAGTAGAAGAATTACATGGAGCTCCAGAAAAATGCGTTGATTAAACCAATGCAAGAACTACACATCAGTGCCATAGGGACACACAGGTGTTAAGCAATAGCTTCACAGGAAAATTTAGTGAAAGACAAAACGAAATGAAATCACCATCACTCTGCTTTTAATCAGGTATTAGAAATACGAGACATGTTAGGGAACAAAGCCACTAATGGTCTGGTGTTAAGGTCTCTATGCAGGTACAACTGTATACCAGACAGATAAAGGTGGTATTCTTAGATGCCATCGAAAACTGGAGTAATGATTTAGCAATAATTCTCATGTATATGAATTAGTTGCAACTAGGCACAAGGAGGCTGCAAAACAAGCAGATTATTTTGTGCGTTTTGTAAGCTTTGTGTTTTCTAGAGGTTCTGTTGTGTTTGTGATTAAAAATATTGATTTAAAACATCATATCTGCTGTCAAAACACAAACGTATCCAAACAGTGCAATAACCGTACGACTTTATGGACTGAAAGTTGTAGTTCACCGAAGCAGATAGAATAGACACCAGAAGGCTGAGGTGGAAAGGAAAGCAGATGTAAAGTGAAATCATTTTAGGCCAAATAAAGAAACAGGAAGGAGAGTAGGAAATGAAATCAAGGCGTTGGAATAGCTAAAATCTGAAATTATGATGGTGGGAATACTGCAGAAATCAAACAGATAACAAGATGCCGGAGAGACATACAAATGCAACCAAGGTCAGTTCAACCTAGAAATGTGCTGAGTAGGTTGGTCTGAACGGGTTCAGCTGGGTGGATTGTTGCCCTATGCAGGGATGTAGCCAAACTGGACTAAGCGGAGGAACAAGTCCCTGGGCAGGACAAGCAGCAATGCTGTTTGGGCCCCTGTTTGTGGTGAGATACTGGTAGATGGAGAGAAAGGAGACATTTAAAGAGATCATTTCAGGTTGCTGGTGAAAGTTTTGATGCATAAATCAAGGCTTCAGTGTAACTTGTCTTTAGTCTTCGAAACATTGCTTGGTATGTTTTACTGAAGCCATCCTACTTATTTCTAGAGAGATTTTCATGTAGCTTGTGCCTTGAAATCTGTATATGAAAGCCCTGTAAGACCAAGATAGGGGAGAAGAACCAATAATTGAATATTAATGAATTTCTCAGCAGTTTTAAAGATCTGGCAACCAAGCTTTCTCTGCGTGCCACTTGGCACCAAATTAAACTAACCTGTAGGGTGTGAATCCTCATTGACTGGATGTACTAAAACAAATGTATTTGCACTCTCAGAGACCTTTGGACAGCTCTAGTCTTTAATGTGGCCTGTAGGGAGACTGGCTTTTCCTGTCTGTACAGTGTCTTTCAGACATATTTTGTGTGAATGATAAAATCAGGAGAATGTATAGGGTTATATGAGGCCACTTGGATGCTATGTCTAATCAGCACATACGGGAATTTGTTTCGGGGTTGTTGTTGGCTTTGAGTGCTGCTGATATTCTCTTTCCTCATGCATTGCCTATGGTCTTTACACAATTGAGAGAGACCATTTTCAAGCATGGCTGCCTCTATTTTGGCACCAATATCCATGTTTTCATCCTGCTATAAAAAGTCTGCTTTTTAGAAATGAAAAGCATCTGATGCACCTGGCACTGACTTAGCCAGCCTTCTAGGAAACCAGCTCACTTAGGGCAATGGATGGGAATGCACACCTTTTAATG